TTGCGAGTCTATTAAATATATCCAACCTTTTTTAATCTAAAACAAGTTTCTCTCCAAGTTTTTATTATAACAATGTTGACAATATTAAAAAATCTATTCAAGTATTTCAATTAATGATATAATTTATGATATTTAGTTCATTAGCTTCATTTTTATGAGAAGATTCAAATAATTATTATTTTATTTTGTAAGTGAGATATTGATTAAAATATACTTAAAAATATATTATATTATAAATTAAATGTAACTGAAATAGAATTTTATAGTATGAAATATGGGCAGCAACTATAGGAAAGACATCAAGTGGTAAAGATTTATTATTTAATCTTGAGTATTGGCTAAAGATCTCTAAACAAATTTATGTTAGTTACTTAAATATTGTAGCAAAACAGTATAGTCATTTTATTTAATATACTTTTCTAGCAGAACATAGCTAATCAAAAAGAATAAAAGTATTTTTAATACACAAAAGAATTAGAAGTATTTAAATATATTATATTGAAGGATATTTGTTAAAAATTATATAAAATACTATTGTTAAATTTGAAATTATACTGAAATTAAGCTAACAACTAAATATCTTAAGATCTCAATTATCTCAAAAGCTTTTTTTAAGAGAAATAAATGATTAAAATTATAATAATTTATTAATAGAATTCACTTGCGTAATTAATTATCATGATCAGATTCTTGTATGAAAATAAGAAAGAAAAAGGTTGAAAGTGTAAAATAATATCTTTATTAAAATTGTAGAATTAAAGTCTATTTTTAAAATTTATATTTAAAAACTTTTTTAGAAGAACTTTATCAACTTAAGGTTAACTTACAGATCTAGTTATATAAAATTTTTTACTATATTACTTTTCAATTTTAATAATATATGATGAAAAATAAATTATTCAATATATGTTAACAAAAATAATTCAAATTTTACAATTATATGCATTATAATAATACTGCAGTGTAAGATTATTTTAATGCAATATTATTTATAATTAATATTATAAATAATGTAATAGTATATACCAGTAATTTTGTCATAATTAATTTATCATTTTAGAATGAAAAATCATTCCTTCAAGTTGAAAGCTTTTTTAAATCAAAAGAAATTATTGATGTCAATAATAAGATTTTAATAATTATATGAGATTAAAGAATTTTCTTATATTAGAAACAGAAACTTTAAATAATTTTTTTGAACAGAATTATGAAATAGAAGATGAACAAATAGTAGCGATTAGTTTATTCTATATATTCATCTTATAAATATACAAATTAAAATATAATTTATAGTATTATTATTTTGAATTTAAATGTAATATTACTTTAAAATATATTTGAAGCTGAATATTATTATTTTAAAAATATATTATTGATCTATTAATATCACAAAAAAATCTGCTTAAATGATTCTCTGATTGATTTGAAGTTCAATACAAATTTTACAAAATAATTCCCTTCATATATTCTTGTACTTTATCTTAAAGATCTTAATAATAATATCCAAAGTTAATTTCATCAAATAAATATGATTTTTAACAAAACTTTACAATCAGAATTTAATAAGTAATAATTAGATTATAAGATTGATAATCTACAATGTTCAGATAAAAATGACGATTTAATAGTTTTAATGATATAAATCTTATACAAAACTTTACCAATTTTATAAATACAAGTATTTTTTCTTACAAATTATTAAATAAGTTATAGCATCTATTTAATTTTTTATAGTATTATAACTTTTACTAAAAACAAGAAATCTGCTTTTAAATTTATTTGTATTAGAAATGAAACTTTTAAATTCATTTATGTATCTATATTTACAAGCTATTCTATAGTATATTTTATTTATAACTTATAAGTATAGAGAGATAATAACTTAAAATCATAAATAAGTATATGTAGACCAGTATAGAGTATTTAAAATCTGCAAATAAATATTAATTTGAGGCTATAAATTAAAGATAAAAAAAAATAACAGATATTATAAAAATCTCTAATCACCTTCAAAAAATTTTTATAAATATAATTAATATACAATGTGTAAAAGACAACAATTCAAAAATCTTATCATTATTAGTATCAAAGTTTGAAACTTTAAATATATTATTTATTTATTCATAATTAATAATAATTCTAATATTAGAAAAATTCTGTCTTAATGAAGTAGATAATGCTAATATATTATACATTTTTACAAAGATGTGAGATTTCATACTTTTTTTATGAATGTATTATAAGTATTCTTTTACATATTATTAATATTAAATTATAAATTTAAGTGTTAGCTTAAGAAATCAAAAATACAAAAAGGTTATTAAGATTTTAATAGACTAAAAGTAGTAGATAATTTATAGCTTGTAGATGTATTATTATTTGTGAATGATAATATAATTATGATTAAAGTACATCATATAAATAAAGAAATCTGTTAGTTTATTATTGCTATAAGAAATTTCTAAACATAATTCCTTCAAAATTTTGTATTATTCAATTGCTTTTTGATTCACATTATAATACTGTTAATTTATCTACTTTTTTTTTTTAAAAAATATCATGATATTTATTTAAAGAGATTGCAAATAGTAGTATAATATTGAAAGATGCAGAAGATTATTAGAAAATAAAATATTTTAATACTAAAATTTTCCTCTTTGTATATTCTTAATATTAATAAAATATATATGAAAAAATTTTGGAATATCATGCTGAGTAAAATTAACTGTTAAAAATTATAACTTATTTATTTAATAATATAAAATAATTAATAATAATTATAGTCTTTAGAGTTTACACTAGTTATTGAGTAGAAAAAGAGAATTATATTATTAAGAAGCAATATATTTATTTTCAATTATTCATCATCAAAATGTTTATTTCAAAAAACAAAAACCTGCTAATATATTTCATAGTTTAAATTTTTGTATTATTTAATTTTATTAATGGTAGATTAATTTTATTAGATAGAAATGTTATGGTAAAGATAAATGTTATAATGAATAGATTTATCAAAAGATATAAATTATTATAAAGGAGCATATTATATAGTAATTTTCAAAACTAGTGAATTTTAAGGTGTTATAGAAACTTATGTTATTGTGATTACCTATTCTTTATTTAAAAATGCAAAAAATTCATTGCCAATAATATTAATTATTACTAAATAATAAGTATTTTTAGAAATATAAAATTAGTTTAATAATTCTAATAACTTTAAATTAGAAATTTCATTTAAGAAAGAATAATCATCAAAAATTTTAGTTATATTCTGAAGTTTTTAATATATTAATTATATATAATAGAAGGATTACTAGAAAAATCAGGCTCTGTGAATTTTTAACAAAATTTTGTTTTTTATTGCATTTCAGTTTTTGATGTTATTAAATTAAAATGTAATAAGGTCTTAATTTTAGTCAAAAAAGTTCCCAGAGCCTGATTTCCTAATAAACTTCCATATATTTATTTTTAATATAAGACTCTTTCAATGAGTGTAACTTATTTTTTTTACTATTTTTGAACATTAGAAATTAGAACATAAATACACAAAAATAAACATTTGAGAAACAAATATATGACAAGTTATAAATAAATAAATGCTTCTATGTTACATCATATTTTTAAATATATTGATAGTGCTGACACTGCATATGAGGGTAGTTTGTCCATATACATCCAATGCTAAATATTATCACTAAATTCTTTAGACTCAGAAAATTCTCATAATGATATTGAACATACGATTTTACGATCCTGATCTTTATGCAATTATCTCCCATAGTCAACCGTCCTGAAAAAATGGTAGCCGGATTTTATTTGCCAGGTCACATTTACTTATTATGGGTGACGTTAATTGTGACAATTAGCATATTTCTCACAAAATACTTAGTAAATTGAAGAACGGTTGGGATGCGACGCAATGTGGCATTTCCTGACCCTCTTAACTAATCCTAATTTTACCCTAATCCTAATCCTAATCCTAACCCAAACCCTAATTCTAATACTAACCCTAATAATAAATAGCCAGAAATACAAATCCGGCTACCATTTTTCCGGGCGACGCTATGTAAGTCGAACGTTGGCAATAAAATCACGTTATGGATCATATGATTTACGATCTCATGGATTTTACTGGCAATAGTACTTTATTCGCTTATGTCTTTTATAAAATTTTATATTTGGCTTTGAGTATTCTCTTTAAAGTGCTTCATCTACGCTTTCTTGTTTTCTTTGTGTGATCTTCATTCACGCACAATATTTTCGCGGTAATCACGTGCAAGAAAGACAATGATTGTATTATCCCTAGACAAGTATATGCCTAAATGAAGGATTGTAAATTCTTGTTTCTGTACAGACAGTATAGTACTACAGCCAAGTGTGGTGGAGGTCCGGGTCTATTTTAGTATTTCTAAATCCGATCTAGTGAGCTTTTTACACAAAATTTAATTTTTAATTTTTTATATATTTAATACATTTATTATAAGGAATTCATATTCTTGCTCAAGACTTAAATTGATAAATAGATTTTTTTAATGGGGTATTGAGTGTGTAGAAAACATAATAAAGTTTCTTCAATAAAACTATTGTCATGAACATTCAGTCCTTCAAATAAATTCTATCTTTTCATTCAAAATATCTTAACTAATCATGTCTGTGAATGTTTGCTTAAATAAACGCGAATTATTTGACGCAGTATATCATTAATATTTATGTAGTACGAATAATTGTCATCGTTACCAATTTGAGAAACTCGTACGACTTTATCGACTCTTTTTTCTAAAATTCGTTTCCTCAAAATTAAATTATATCCGTATTTAAGAAATTCAATGATATTAAAATGGGTGAACTTAAAATCCTACAATCTTTATAATTGGTGCAGGCACAGGAGGCTAGCTTTAGCGCCTTCAATCAAAAAAATCATCACAATCGAAAAGAAATATAATATAAAAATCTTTGACCGGGAACAAAGACGTGATATATCTAAGTGGCATTAAATTAAAATGTATTCGGAATCAATTGCCACAAGATTTCATGAAGTTGTACCGGATCAAATTGGTGATATAATTGAAAATCATGTTATAACTGTTCATGATCATTTTTTAAAATTCCCAGGATATCACGTTAAGAATATTTATGAATTTAGTAAATTTAAATATTCAATTTACATTTGTTGTAAGTTGGTAGATTGAGAGATTAATTGTTAAATGTATTATTGTGGCCATGGTGTTGGATATCATTAAATGAGGAAGAAGTTTGGGCTACCTTTGAAGATTCGCTCTAAATTTAAAAAAACTTTTCAATCACCGAGTTTCGATGGGCCCAAAAGGAGATTGTACTTTCTTGATGTGATTAATGTATCGTCATGCTTATTCTTACCCTTCTTAACAACATGAAAAAGAGGTTAAGTGGACTTATAAGGATGATGAACTACCAACAAGTAAATTCCCTGATTATGAAAATCAATTAGTTTATGTTATCAAAGAATTAAACCTCAAGAGGAGAATATTTGGGTATTAACTAAATGGTCAAGAAATGATTATGAATAATATCCTAGAATACCTTTTATCCTTTGGGAAGAAGATCATTAAGAGATGGGCGGCAATCAATAGAAAAGGTAGAAATCTAAATTTTTGTCAAAAGTTTTTTTATTTGATCCACTTGACCAAAATTAGATTAAAATTTCAGATTTTCCCTTTTTTACTGATCCTGGAACCGTCGATCAATGGGCAACTACGAGATTAACATTTATAAGTGATGCTGTACACGCCATGAAACCCTCTCTATCAAAATATATATATATATATAATTGCTTAAAAAATTATTTGCCATAATATTGTCAAATAGTAATTATTTTTTATTTTTATTTAATTAAAGTAATAGTTTTCCAAATCTGACCAATATGTCCTTGCTGAATTTTAGATATAAAAATGATGACTTTCTTCCTGAAAGAATAGAATCGGATCTATATAATTTTCTTAGATATTTCTCTAGAATGTATCTTAATTACAATAAACGTACCTGAACGTACGGAATACCGAAATTGAGGTAATTAATCAATATAATTATTTATTCATTTACTTAATCTCAAAACAGGAAATACAATATTCCATATGCAGGATGACAATATAATTTTACAACATTGATTGGTGGAGTTGGTCACCTATTCACAGACGGTATCGATCTAATTATGAGATTTTGAGATTTATCCGAAAAATTAACTGTTATGGAAGGTAATTCATCAATTATTATTTTATATATTTAAAGATGATTTACTAAAGTAATTTTATAAATTAAATTACACAGAATAATGTCAGATTTCAAGATTATAAGAAAATAAGGAGGCTAACGCTTAACAAATAGAGAATTATAGATCAAGAATTGTTTAATTTATATTATTTTATGAAACATTACTAAACCATAGTATATCTAGATTAAATTCAGTTTATTAGAATGTTTGTAAAGAATTATGTAAAGGAGTTGTTCATTTTATCAATATATCCATTCTGTGCTAAGATTGTATGGATTCAAATCATCCAATTTTCTTCAAAAAATTCAGCTATAACAAACATTTAACGCGACACGCATTCTCAAAAAGGTAGTGATTAAAATTATCTATTGAAATCTAAAAATAAAAGAAATTTTAATAAGTTTAACACTTCTGATGAAGAGAAAATGGCTTATGATGAAGAAGAACGAGCAATTTAAGAAATTCTGATTCATATTTGTATTATAATATAAATTTTTGAATAAGTTATGTTCTATTTTTTATATAATCATGGATTTCTATTACATGTTGAAAATTTAACAAATTTGCTTATTTTCCATAATTGGAACCTTTAAGTGAAGCAAAGGCATTTCGTGATCAAACAGAAATATCAAAAATTATGTACCAGAATCGATTTACTTGTAACAACAGCCTTTAATGAAAAAATAAGCAAAGATCTAAAAAAAAAAAGGCGAACAATAAGTTTGATAATAGTAGTGCACTTCAAGTATATAACATGTGAGTCAATGACGGAATACTATTTGTTCCGATCTCCTACGGTGATAGCATTGTGACTGATTCGCCTTCAACACTAACATATCTTTCTGACATTGTGGCGAAAGGTGATAAATACCATCAGATTTTCAATAAGTCATTGAATCAGTAGTATCAATGGCCGTGTCCTCCCTCCGTATGCGCTAAAAGAAATTATATTAATATATTATTTGTTTAAAAATAAATTATTTATTAATTTTTCTTTACATTATTTTTTTTTGTATTTTTATATAAAAAGATAACGTCACATGTATTAAGAAGCACATGTACATAATCCAATAATAATTAAAATTTAGAAATACATTAAGTGGAACTTTTTATTTTTTTATTTGTCGCTTTTTTTAAAAAATCCGACTTTCATCTTATGTATTGATATGCTTGCGGATTTGAAAGGTGCAATCATTTTATTTTACGAATGGTTTGTTTTTGTCAATGTGCTTTCCTATACCCTTTTATTTAACCAAACAGAAATTTAACGAAAGGCGCATTGATTTTAAGTAGACTTTAATTTTATCAAACACCTATAAATTTAAAATTATTTAACAGAATTTTGTGTTATTTATGTATAATTTTAATACTTGAATTAATAAATGAAGAGAGATTTTTTTTTTTTTTTTTTGACGAAAATTTCTTACATCCCAGGAAGTGTCGACAGAGTAACCCAATACATGAATCTTCAGTCAAAAATTTTCAAGCTATATATTGATAGTCCATCATTTTGAGCAAAAAATAAAATAAAAGCAAGTATTATTATCAATATATTTGGAAACTTTACAAGTCATGAGTTGATTTTTGAAAGTCGGATTGTTAGAACTTCCCCAATACCTCTCTTTAATATTCAGTATAACGAATACCTCAATACACACATCGTTCAAAGCTTTTTTGAGGTAAATACATGATTTTCGTTATGTCACCTAAAATATTTAACGAGAAAAAATATGCACAACCATTTAACAAACTTCAATCTTTGCCAATGCACTGGCTTTTTTCCCTTTGATTTTGACGACGATTTTCCGATTTTTCTTCGTTTTGCAGGAGGATTAGCATCAGACTGCTTCAATGATCTTAGCAGTCGTAATTTCTCAAATCAGTCAAGTCTTAAATATTAAAAAAAGGAAAATTAGTTATTGTAAATATAGGATATTAATGTATGAATTTTTACCTCTC